ATCTTATAAGGATGGAAATGAAGATCATCATGAAGAATTCTCCTCGCTGAATGATCGGAAAATCCAAGGTCAGGCACATGTTTGCGCGCAGAATGCCGTGGTGATCGCAACATTGAAGCTCTCACTGCCTCCATGTTCTCAGGTGATCTCATGGGCCGAAGGACTCCCGTTCTTCGTCTTGTTGCACTTGCAGTTTGTCTGAATGCAGTGACCCATGTCACAGTTGATTTCCGGTCCAGGACAGGGGCCAATGGGGCTAAATTTAAGCGATTGCGAAAGGCACGCTGGGTTGCGATCATAGAACATCCACTCGAAAAGTAGGCCTCAATGGCAAAAACATGTTCCAACGCATGATGGCGACTGAACCGTGTCAGGGCAAAACTTTATACTCCCGCCTCTCAAACGAGACCACGAGTGCTCCGCTACGTCTTCAATCGACTGAATGGTGCGCATTTTAAAAAAGGAAGTTATGCTGCCGCACCCTATACATTGCATTTTTGCCTGTCTAGGTTCCTCTTGTTAGTTTTGGGAAAGACCTTTGAAATAGATATATAAACCCCTTTTCCTAGTTCCAACAGACCTCACAACCTCTGAGGATGCTTGCCATAGATGCAGGCGAAACGTCAGGAGAGAATGCCTCTAGACCATGGCCAAATAGCCCGAAAAAACCTACAACAACCCACCTTTGAAATAACTGGGGCTTGGAGCAGAATTCCAGCCCTGGATTTGAGCCTCCTCCCCGAGGGTCGGTCCCACTTGTGCAGCGGTCCTTTTGTGGCTTTGCATTCTTCCCTCCCCTTTGACCAGGAAGCCCTGGCCGGTCCCTCTGGCCTTGGGAGGTGGGGCCGGGACCCTGGTGGTCTCCCCAGCCATTCCTGGGGGGCACTTCTTCCCTACTTCTTCCCTACCGCTTCCTTTGCGGGTCCTGATGGGGCAGGGCAAGGGGTCCCTGCCCTCCGCCTGCAAATGAGCCAGATGGCCAAGTGTGATGTCCCGCTGACCCTCATTAGTGAGCCACCGCAAAGCCGGCTCCCTCCCGCCTCACATGCCAGCATCGGAACGGAGCCCTTGACCTTTCCCTCTCTATAACACTGTCTTCACTTCCCCTGGCCAGGCAGCTGCAGCCAGACAGTGCAGGGGGGAAATGAAAGGCTTTAAGCGAGTAAGTGGGTAGGGGTCTGAAAAGGGGCTGGGGGCTTGTACCTTAGGGGTAAACCAGAGGGGAAGGAAAGGTAGGCTCTGGGCAATGGCAGGGCTTCCTAAATCGGGAATGTGATCTCCCAGAACGGCGCCAACATGTCACCTCAATGGTTTCCTTGCCAGGCCCACTGGGGCCCCTGAGGACAGGTGAGGCTCAGGAATCTGGCCAGGATACGGTTGTGAGAGCATGCTGTGTGTATTCAAGTGTTGTTTCCACCATTTTCCAACAGCTGGGTGCAGGGATTGGCATTGATATCACTCTGTAACATCGCATTTGTTCCTGGGTTATACATTGTCAGAAATATTAAAATTAACTAGGTATTATTGATTACAAGAGTGTGAGTCAAGCACTGAAAGAGTGAGTAGGCTGAAGCCTGTTAGAGTCAGTGGGCTGAAGCTAGTGTCATCCTGAGGAGTGTGAGGTAAACCTCTGTGTGAGAGAAACCTCGTGAGAAAGCTCCAGTGTGAAGGTATTATTGATTACAAGAGAGTGAGTCAAGCACTGAAAGAGTGAGTAGGCCGAAGCCTGTTAAGAGTCAGTGGGCTGAAGCTAGTGTCATCCTGAGGAGTGTGAGGTAAACCTTTGTGTGAGAGAAGCCTTGTTTGAGAAAACTCCAGTGTGAAGGCTGCTTTGTGTAAAGCTACTGTGTACTTGTTTATTTGTGTTATGGAAACCTTGTGGTTGTAAATAGTGCAACCATATCATTTTGCTATAAATAAAAGCTCCCTAAGGAAGCTAGTGTCATCCTGAGGAGTGTGAGGTGAACTTCTGTGTGAGAGAAACCTCGTCTGAGAAAACTCCAGTGTGAAGGCTGCTGTGTGTAAAGCTACTGTGTACTTGTTTATTTGTGTTATGGAAACCTTGTGGTTGTAAATAGTGCAACCATATTATTTTGCTATAAAGAAAAGCTCCCTAAGGAAGCTAGTGTCATCCTGAGGAGTGTGAGGTAAACCTTTGTGTGAGAAAAACATCGTGTGAGAAAGCTCCAGTGTGAAGGTATTATTGATTACAAGAGAGTGAGTCAAGCTCTGAAAGAGTGAGTAGGTTGAAGCCCATTAGAGTCAGTGGGCTGAAGCTAGTGTCATCCTGAGGAGTGTGAGGTAAACCTTTGTGTGAGAGAAGCCTCGTGTGAGAAAGCTCCAGTGTGAAGGCTGCTGTGTGTAAAGCTACTGTGTACTTGTTTATTTGTGTCACGGAAACCTTGTTGTTGTAAATAGTGCAACCATATTACTTTGCTATAAAGAAAAGCTCCCTAAGGAAGCTAGTGCCATCCTGAGGGGTGTGAGGTAAACCTTTGTGTGAGAGAAACCTCATGTGAGAAAGCTCCTGTGTGAAGGCTACTGTGTGTAAAGCTACTGTGTACTTGTTTATTTGTGTTACAGAAACCTTGTTGTTGTAAATAGTGCAACCATATTACTTTGCTATAAAGAAAAGCTCTCTAAGGAAGCTAGTGTCATCCTGAGGGGTGTGAGGTAAACCTCTGTGTGAGAGAAGCCTCATGTGAGAAAGCCCCAGTGTGAAGGCTGCTGTGTGTAAAGCTACTGTGTACTTGTTTATTTGTGTTATGGAAACCTTGTGGTTGTAAATAGTGCAACCATATTACTTTGCTATAAAGAAAAGCTCCCTAAGGAAGTTAGTGTCATCCTGAGGAGTGTGAGGTAAACCTCTGTGTTAGAGAAACTTGTGTGAGTAAGCTCCAGTGTGCAGGTATTATTGATTACAAGAGTGTGAGTCAGGCACTGAAAGAGTGAGTAGGCCGAAGCCTGTTAGAGTCAGTGGGCTGAAGCTAGGATCATCCTGAGGAGTGTGAGGTAAACCTCTGTGTGAGAGAAACCTTGTGTGAGAAAGCTCCAGTGTGAAGGCTGCTGTGTGTAAAGAGATAACATTCGTCTGTGTGTTTTTGTTATTTTTATCACTACTATTTTTATTTTATTTATTTCATATACTTATATCCTACTCTTCTCACCCCCGAGGGGGACTCAGAGCGGCCTCACAGCGAACACCATTCGGTGCCATCATAATGATAAGAACAATCAACATATTCATTAAAACAAAACATTAAATAAACAGTTGTTAAAACACGTCAATTAAAATCTGGGTCCGGGTCAATTCATTGTCACTTCGAAATTGCTTATGTCTTCTTCATACAAGCTGGTGTTCAATGGTCAAATGCAAGGTCCCACAACCAAGTCTTGAGTTTCCTTCTAAAGGACAGGAGGGAGGTGGCCAGTCTGATGTCTTTGGGGAGGGAATTCCACAGACGGGGAGCCACTGTTGAGAAGGCCCTGTCTCTCATCTCCACCAATCACGTTTGCGACGGTGGTGGGATCGAGAGCAGGGCCTCTCCAGATGATCTTAAACTTTGTGATGATTCGTAGTTGGAGATACGTTCGGACATGTAGTCTGGGTCACTGCTGCTGCTAAGTTACTCTGCTGTGCATTTATGAGGAGGGTCTTCCATTAATAAGCCCACTTGCCCAACATAAATGTCACTGGTTCTAGCATAAAATCATTATGGAAAAAGTTTATTAAACAGCACGAAGTTTGGGTTGCTGTAGGTTTTTTCGGGCTATATGGCCATGGTCTAGAGGCATTCTCTCCTGACGTTTTGCCTTCATCTATGGCAAGCATCCTCAGAGGTAGTGAGGTGAGGATGCTTGCCATAGATGCAGGTGAAATGTCAGGAGAGAATGCCTCTAGACCATGGCCACATAGCCCGAAAAAACCTACAACAACCCAGTTATTCCGGCCATGAAAGACTTCAACAAGACATAGCACGAAGTTTGTCTTTGCGGGACACCTAACAGCTGGTAAACTGGCTGAGATGTCTGGGAGTTGTAGGTCCAAACACCTGGGGACCCACAGGTGGAGAACCACTGCTTTAATCCATCTCCAGGCTTCATCATTTCCTTTTTCAAGCAACCCAATGATATCCAGTGTATCAGTAAGATTTTGGACCTCTGAAAGGTACCTGATTCTTGATGCTAAGCAGGGTCATCCATGGTTAGGACTTGGATGGAGGATCCTCCAAGGATGTTTCAGATAGAAGGAACTGGCCAAACCCACCTTTTGCCTAAGAAAACCCTGTGAGACCCACACACACATTGTAAGTCAATCAGCAACATGAAAGCACAAACACACAAACAGGCATGGGCCTGAGAGTTGATGCCTTCCTGTGAGAGACCCTGGATGCCATTCCTGACATATGGCAACCAGAAGGCTTACCCAACAGCCTTCCATGAGGCCATCACGAGGTTTCTCTGAGAAGATGTGGTCAGGGGGGTTGACTCTGCCTTCTTCTGAGGCCGAGAGAGAGTGTCTTGTCCAGGGCCCATCATGACATTCCCGCCTCACCATGCTGTGCAACAAGGAGCCTCCACCACACTGCAGAGAAGGCAGAGAGTTCCACTGCTGAACAGCTCTCACAGTCAGGAAGTTCTTCCTCATGTTCAGGTGGAATCTCCTTCCTTTCCTGTCATAGAATCATAGACTCCTAGAGTTGGAAGAGACCTGGTGGGCCATCATCCAGTCCAACCCCATTCTGCCAAGAAGCAGTAAAATTGCGTTCAAAGCACCCCCAACAGATGGCCATCCAATCTCTGTTTAAAAGCCTCCACCACACTCTGAGGCAGAGAGTTCCACTGCTGAACAGCTCTCTCTCCCAGTTGTGCCCCAATGCTTTGCAAAGTGAATTTCCTTCTTGGGGAGTCTCTGTTTTCTCCAAGCGGTGGGTGTAGATTTGCTTTTTGGGGGGCTAACGATGGGACCTCTCCCTCTCCCCTCCTCTCTCTGTTTCCAGGGGGCCCGAGAGACCTTTGAGAGCTACTACCGGAAGCAGAGGCGAAAGCAGGCCCGGCTGGTGCTGCAGCCCCCCTCCAACATGGTACGGTCCTCTCCCATGGGACTCACACAGGTTTGGGACCCCCCTTTCCCCCTTCAACACACACCATCATGGGTTAATCTTGTTCCTTTTCTCTCCCCTTTTGTACCAAATCCCAGCATGAGACCCTGGGGGGCTACCGGAAGTACTTCAACCAGATCGTAGGGTAAGTACTCTCTTTTTTTCTGCTCACATGTTCTTTTCTCTTTTGCCGTGCATGCTGTGAGCAAAGTTCCTTTATTTTTTTCTGGATCAATTTTTATGGTATTATATGAAAAACAAAGGAACGTACAATCTTGGAAATCAACAATCAAAATACGAGTGTTCTTTCATGAGTCCCAACACCTCCCCATTCCCACCCAAGTGTTGTGACTCAGCTGGAATCAGAGAGTGTTTCTGATGAGGATGATGGGACTCAGGTTCACAGTTTGGTTCAAAATGTCCCTCTTATAGACAGTGAAGAAATGCAGTTTCCCACAGTAAGGCAGGAGAGTTTTGATACTGAAAATAGCCAGGTGCAGGTTGACTCAGAGAAGGAAGATAGCTCTCAGCCTGGTTCTCAGCCTGATAATGAGCAAACAGAGAAACAGGCTAACGAACCTTGACATATGCAAGTTGTAGTTATTGGGATGTATAGTTCACCTACAATCAAAGAGCATTCTGAACTCCACCAATGATGGAATTGAACCAAATATGGCACACAGAACTCTCATGACGAACAGAAAATATATATCACTGATTGGTTGGGAGGGGCGGGCAAATACTGTTTGCTTACCATTGAAAATTACCTAGGGCCGCCTCTGCCTGTACATTAGCTTTCCTTGCTGAGACTAACTAAAAATGGCTCCCTTCCCTTCCCAATTGCCCTGAGCAAGGGGCAGGACCAAAACTTAATGATGATGGACAGGTAACTTGCCCTACGACTGCAACCAAAGGAAGCCACCTATCTGCAGAACCCCAGGAACCTTGGACTGCAAGCAAACATTTAATACAAAGCAAATAAAATTGGAGCTCCTGGTACAGCCGTACCAGTACATAACTATATTGACAGATTTCTACATCTTCTTTGCCTGGCTTTCTTTAGAGCAGCCCTGAGCTCTTAGGGAGTGCAAACAAGGCTGTGCTGGGGGTGAAGGAGGTCATTCCTGGCGCTTCCTCTGACCAGCCCAGATGGACTGCTGACCACTGCCCCTCTCCTTGTCTTTCTCTCCCGTTAGCTTCTTTGTCATTGAGGACCACATCCTGCACACCAGCCAGGGATTGGTGGACAGAGCCTACATCGATGAGCTGTGGGACATGGCCCTGTCGAAAACCATCGCGGCACTCCGGACACATTCGGTGTGTAGTGTCTGTACGGTGTTGGGGCTTAAAACATGAGATGTTGAATCTTTTAGGTAGCAGAGCTTATGGAACACTATGATGCAGAAGCCAGAACAGAAAATCAGCCATGAAAAATCTGGTTCCCTGTTTTGAACTGGTTTTTTGGACCGGGCCCATAATCTGTTGGGTTTAAGATATGCAATTTGGCAAATCTGTTGGGTAGAGAAGCCAGAAGAGAAAGCCCAGCTGCCTCCCCATTGAGTGCAGGTATCAGTCGTGAGACTCATTTGCCTTTTCATGGTGTTTCTTTCTCTTGAGGACATTTTTGCTTTCAGTTCTTGTGGGTTTTTTCGGGCTATATGGCCATGTTCTAGAGGCATTTCTCCTGACGTTTCGC